ACTGATGTGTTTTCGTATTATCAATATATAATCAACTAGCAAACAACAACCATATCTCTAGGTTTTAAGATTAGTGTCTAGCATTCTGTTTCTCGATCTCTGATTCGCAGGTAAAACCGTTAAGACAATTGGGATTATAAAATTTTAAAAGATCTATATATTATCATATAATTCAAAACAAATAAAGTTTATACCAACTTATTATAAGATTTATTATATAAGAGATAACAACGTCATTAATATATTTAAAAAAACATATATTTATAAAGATTTCAAATATATTATTGTATTCTACGCACCATAGGGTGGCTAGTTGTGAGCTCTTGTGATGATGAGGAAAAAAGTATACTAATAGAGTACATTACACGGATGGTCCCTATGGTTAGGGGTTACTTGCACGCATGGTCCCTAAAAAGTTTTTTTTTAACTCGGATCGTCCCTAAAACTTAAATTTGTTACCCACCTAGTCCTTAAAATAACTTGCCGTCTATTTTTGTTGTTAAACCATGGTGAAAAGACATATATATCCTTACTTTTATATTTAATATATATAATTATTCTTGAAAGGATAAATATAAAATAAAATCTATCCCATCCCAAAATATATCCCACACTCTGTAAGCTAAAACCAACCAAATCCTAGCACTGCATCCCCCTCTGAAAACCTTCCTTTCGTCCATTGTTACTGGTCGCCACAGACACAACCTACCGCAACTGGTCTCTCTCCGGACTCTCTGTAACTGGTCGTATCATCACCACCAAAACTCACTCCCACCACCCCATTCCCACTCTCGTCACCCTCTTCTTCCTTCTCAATTCTAGAAACGCCCTAATCTCCTCCTCCTCCCTCTCATTTCTCCCGTTCACATTTTCTCGTTCCCTCACTAGAGAAGACAATTACAAAGGAATGTGCGTGGATATTCCCTCCCTAACTAGCATCTTGAGCACGACCACAAGCGTTTAAAACAAATATTTGAGGTCAAGTTATTTCCTATCAATCCTTGGTTGCTCAATTTATCAAACAAATAAAGTACAAAAACAGGACGATCCCTCTTCAATCATCGAATCACAATGTTCCAAATATATCAAGTGGGTTTTTTTAATTTGGTCAAATATGCAAAGAGTTCTCTGCAAATTACTTGGCTGAAGAGAATATAATTGGATGACGTGAAATATGATGACGAGTTAAAGTGAAGATGGGTTGTAATCAACTGAGCGTGAAGCTCTTTAACGAATACCAATTTCTCCATCAACCTAAGATTTAACGAGGGAGATCTCTGAAACAGGGACCTTGCAATTTACGTCTTAATTATCTTAAAAAAGAATCTTTGTTGGTAGTTGAACGAGAAGAAGAAATTGATAAAAAAGATGATGAAAGATCACATCTTATTTAGGTTAAGGAGAAGACGTGTGCAGTGCCATGCCATTTTCATAAGGAAAAATAAAATCATTTTTTAGAACGAGAAGAAGAAATTGATAAAAAGAAGGTTGGGTGAGTTTTAGGTAGTGTTTGTTTTTTGTCTGCAGATATGCATGGCCTCTTCTGTCTGCGCCGCGCAGACCACGCGCAAACATTAGTCTTCGCAGACTGTTTGTTTTTTTGAAGACTGCAGACCTAAAAATGTATGTGCCCCTCTTCTTGGCGCAGATGTGGACCAGAGTCTTCTAACATCTTCAAACATCTTCTAGCCTAAAAAAAACATTTATTTCTTTATTTCTTTTAAGTTTTTTTTAATTTATATTTTTTCCAACTTTATTAATGATAAACAATTTGAAAAAA